GACCGCCGAGACCGCTCCTCTGCGCGTCTCACTCGCCCCGGCTGGGTAACCCCCCCTCCTTTGCTGCTTTCTCTTTTCCCCCTCGCTCTTTGCACTGGGGGGCTCTGCTTTTGGCTTCGCAAAGGTCCTGCCAAGATGCTAAGTTGGAAATTGAGGATTCTGACGCCTTGTGCGCGCCTGAAGCTCCTCCTTCCCGGGGTGTAGTCGGTGGTTGGACTGGCAGGAGCCTCTGGGCGGCCGCAGCCAACCCGGCCGCCAGGCGCGCCTCGCCCTCTCCCTCTTCCTCCCGGCTCCCTCTCCCGCTCGCTGGCGCTCCCCTCGCCCCTCCCTCGCGCCCGCCTCTCCTCCGCGGCCCTCCTCTACCCCTCCTCCTTTTCTGCCCCCCTCCCTTCGCCGGTCTCTCTCTCTCTCTCTCTCTCCCTCTCACTCTCTGACTCTAGAGCGCCGGCCCCAGGATGACAATCATATCCCAGGCGCGCCGATCTCTTCCAACTTTCCTCCTCTGCTGAGTCCGTGTGGAGCTCGGGTTCCGACGCAGCGCGGGCCCTGGTGGCCGGTCCGGCCGTCCCTAAGCACAAAAGGAACGAGGCGCGAACGCTCTGCTATCTCTTCGCCACAGTATATCGAGTAGTTAGCGGATTTCTTGTTGGCCAGGAGGCCGGGCGCTGAGGCGGATCGCCTCCCACCCGCCCCTGGCTTCTCCCTCAAGTCAGCGAGTTGAGGACCCGCAATGAAGGTCGCTGGGAGAGCCAGATGAATACCGCGGGCCAGGGCGCAGGGAGTCCGGGATTCCTGTCCCTCTCCGCCAACAGCAGCAGCAGCAGCGGCGGCAGCAGGTGGGCGAGGGATAGGCCTTGGACATCTGCACGTAAAGGACCCGGCCTTCCTTCCACCGACTCCCCGCCAGACGGCGAGGGAGAAGATACTGGGGGCCCAGGACGTGCCGGGGTAGCCTTTCACTAGAGTGGCGGTAGTGGGCAAGAGCTGCCGGACGGAGGCGCGTCTACACTGGAGTAGGTCTCCGGACCCCACTCTCCCCCACGCAATGCCTCGCTGCTGGGTTCTCGGCTCTCTCCGTCCGCTGCTCGCCCCGCCAAGCCCGTGGTGGCGGTAGACGGTGCGAGCCCCTGTCCCCTTCGCACGCGCCCGTGCGCCACTGTAAACACACCGCAGAGCAGTGCCCAACCCAACTACTGTTTGTTCAGCGAGGCGCTGGCAAGGCACACACACACAACTGAGTCACAGGCGGAGCCCTTTGCCCACGACGGCCCTACAGAGCACGAAACAGACCCTCTGCGCGTCTCTCCACCCCGAGCTGCTGCTACAGGCGCACTCGATCTCGGGGACAGACAGGGGCGCTGGTGAACCAGGACAAGGGCTGGCACATTGTCGGGCACTGCGCTGGAGCTCGGTATATCCGGGACTTTGTGGCCCTGGATAACGGGGTCACGCGCAAGCCGAGGCACGACTATACACAAAGTGCCCGGCAATGACTTCGACGGGCGAGGTACACTTTATTTCCTAAGACCCGGCCCCCGCACACCGGCCGGTGCGGCTCCCTAGTCCACGCAGGGCGGCGCGACTCAGCGCATGCGCCCTGACGCCTCCCCAGGCCCCGCCCCTCGAGCGGACCTTCCCCGAGACCCTGTCGGTCCTCGCGGCCCTGTCCCCGCTGCCTTCACCTCTAATTGGACTCTGGCCTCCGTTGACTCCGCCCCCCGAGGACGTGAGCCGCCTTCCCTCCGAGTCACGGCGCCGAGTGGGGGGGCTGGGCGGGGCGTCGGCGCACTATTGTCATGGAGACGGGAAGCCGGTGGCAGCGGCGGCGGGTACAGCCCCGCCGAGGTGGCTGCGAGCCCCACCGAGACCGAGACGAGGCCGAGCGGCCCGGACGGCCCGAGGAGGACGGAGCGTGCAGCCGGCCGGCGGCGGCCTGTCG